CAAATAGCCATGATCTGCTCGAGGGCTCGATATGGTTGGGGTTCCCGGGCCAAAGCCGGTGAGTTCTCTTACGGACTTCATAATCAGAGCCTTTAGCTAGCCAAAGCCCGACCCCCAAGGTATGTATTTAAGGGCTAAACAGTTTTGAAACAAGGGTGATATGAAACATTTTCGAGATTTGTCACACACTTGGAAGCTCGATAAGGAAGACCTGTGAACCCTCAACATCAATTCCTCTTTCTCGGCTACTACTTTGATCCACCAATAAAGAAAAAGATAAAACTGCCCATAAAATGAATGGATAAAGTTGAGAGTACCACCAAGTTGAACTGCATTTACATTTACGATACCCAGTCATAGCTTTTAGGGTCTCTAACTATCATTCAGGCTAATCCTGGGGACTACAAATGTGAAACAAAAGTAATTTATAAGATTGATTACTTTCCGGGAAAAGTTTCCTCACCTTTAAACACGCGAACTGTCCTTGCTCATCTGGTAAACGTTCTTTATCCTGCTAAACAGTTTATCATGGCCTAGAATTGGAATTCACGCGTGATCAATTGAGTAGTATTTGTTGAATACATGTCTGCGGCTTAAGTGCGTGCGTTCTGCCAACATGCGCATCGTTAATTTCCTCGTTCCACAGACGTTATCGATTGATACCTGCTTAGATCGATCAACCTCATGCACTTGTCTATACCACTACGGCCGGCCGACATGGGCCCGATTCTGAATGGCTATTGGTCCTATTGCTGCCTTGGTGAACATACGCTTGACATGATTGATTGTGAACAAGTCATAATAAACCTATCCGACTCTGCGTACGGTTGTTCTACTTTGCTAGTGGTCTACGGGTCCGAGACTAAAGAGTTTGAAATCCAAACGTAACAGTATTGACCGGTTTCGCATCTAAAACTACGAGAACAAATGATGGTCAGCGGAAGCAACTTATTTTGCTGGATCTTAGCTAAGATCACTAACAAAAACGCAGTCAAAAACAGCAACAATAACAAGAACATGGTTGACGCGTTCCTCGTACCTGTGATGCTCAGTACTTCATTAGTCACTTTTTTGAGGATGGCGAACGAGCTCAGAAATAGGATATTCGAATAAACACTAGTGCAATCTGAAACAAGCCGACACTGCCATCACTTCCTATGGACTTAAACTAGTAGAACGCGCTTTTCTGACCCGCTTGTCGGCTTGTTTTATTGTTTCCAATGTCCCCTTCAGAGTGCGTGAAGGCCAAATAGGTGAACCTTGGAAACTCTCTTCACTGATACACTTTATTTGTAAAATCTTTAAATTATTCTAAAAATCCGTTCATTGTGTTTTCCGTAATTATTTTTATGTTTTTGATTCCGTTTAGCGATCTTTTTTCTCTGAAAGTAATGGTCATTTGATTGCTCCATCGAGTATTGTTTATTTTTAAACACTTTATTACAAGTGCAATCATTCTCAAACCAATCTGGTCTTCAGGTGAATGTTTCTAAATGCTTCTAATGCGTTTTTCAGTTCAGTTCAATTTTTACAACCATTAACCATGCACTTTCGCGCGCCAGTTTTGGTTGCTGTCTTTTAGTTTTTCCCGATCCGAATATCCCTTAGAAGCGTCACTCATCAATTCCATACCCATCACCAGAACACATACAACTAAATACCTAGGAATTTACCCATGTTCTCCTTAAGGGTGATTCCAACTGCCTCAATCTCAACAAATCAGTGACCGTTCGTTCATTTTGCGAACATCATTTCAAACAGCTGATTGACTCGCATCCACTATACAACCATGTGAAGGTGACCACTAGGTTTGGCAACCTTCAGTCACCGTCCATACTGGATTTAGTGTTGACCAATGAGGAGCTGATGGTAGAGTGTGTCAGTGTGACTTCCCCCGTAGGACGCAGCGATCATGCAGTACTTACATTCAAATACGTCTGTTACGCTTCGATTCAAGGAAGTTCCTCTGGTGACACGCGTAGATCTATAGACGACACCCTGTTGAATAATACACAAAGAATGGCCACCAAGATGGTAAAGGGATTGCATTACCTGACATGCGAGGACAGATTGCGATCATCGGGACTATATTTTGCTCAGTACCGCCGAACTCGAGGAGACTTGATTTTGACGTATGAAATACTGCAGAACCTAAACTATCGGTATCGATCGTTGTTCATGTTATCGAAAAATGTACATCTAAGGGGATACCGTTTCAAACTACTGATTCCAAAATGTCAACTGGATTGCCGGCACCAATCTTTTGCAGTCAGAGTGTGCAAATCTTGGAACGCCCTTCCATCTCATGTCGTTTGTGCACCTTGGCACAACCTTGGCACACCTCACATTCGTACATTAAAGGCAAACGGAAATTCACTGTAGCCTACATTCTCTATCTCCCACTCGGATCTCTATGTGACTCCTTTTTCGATGTGTAACGATTCATCTGTGTAAATATTCTATGGGACAAGAGAAGCATCAGCTTGTAAGTTATTCCCATAATAAAACTTTGACTTTGAATCATCATAGATAGCAATCTACAGTGGTCTTCTCATGTGCCTGTATTGGTAGACTGCGTCGCTTATCCTTTCAAATACACAAGCCACGACAATTTCGAGTGAAGTATGAAACTATATGTTCCTTTGTTTATCAATGCATTTCTCCTGTCCTACTTAATTGTTCGCTCGTTATTTTCCTGGGACTGCTACTTGAAAAGTATTTCATTATTCTTCGTCGCAGTTTGGTAATTATCAACCCTGTTTCTCTTATCCCTTTAAACACTCTATTATAAAAATTGTGTGATTTTCATATAACTTCATGTGGGCATTTTGCTCATAAGATATTCAACGACCCCAGTCATTCGCTTAATCCCGATTTATCTGCTTGCCATTCCCACGGTACAACCTGATCCAAAGTCAAAGTCAAAGTTTTATTATGGGAATAACTTACAAGCTGATGCTTCTCTTGTCCCATAGGATATTTACTCAGATGAATCGTTACACATCGAGAAAGGAGTCACATAGAGATCCGGGTGGGAGATAGAGAATGTAGGCTACAGTGAATTTCCGTTTGCCTTTAATGTACGAATGTGAGGTGTGCCAAGGTTTCGTCGAGTCTCTACTTGAAAGATTCAATAGTGGGTGCACAAACGACATGAGATGGAAGGGCGTTCCAAGATTTGCATACTCTGACTGCAAAAGACTTTGGAATCAGTAGTTTGAAATGGTGTCCCCTTAGGTGTACATTGTTCCAATCAGCACTGCGCATTATAATTCCAAGATTCCCTATCGGGCTTGTATTCTAAATGATAAAATAAAAATCCATAACGAACTATTTTTAAACCTACAAAGATGTATTGTATTGTACTGTATTGTAGTGAAACTAAGTGCATTAGAAAGCTCAGATTGAACGCTTTCCTTGTCAGTCAGTATCCGGGCAAGAGAGTTTCTGTATGCATAAATGCGAAACGGGATAAGTTTATAATTAGAACGAGTGGAAGGGTGGGATTTTCTTGCACACAAGTAAATGTGTAGAGGATGGGTGCAATCAGATAGGATATTGTCAGCAAACTTCAAGCACGCATCAAAATGGGTATTACACATATTACCAAGTAAAAAAGATAGCGCAACTTGGGAGACACGGCTGGTCATTGAGAGGCCACGCATCAGCAACTTGAAATCGGCCTTCAGCAAACCAGGAAAATTACAGGTAGTGGTAAGGGGGGTATAGGGGTATGTAAGGATCAACGAAGGTTACTTTCATGTTTGACAACTAAGTAACTCATATGGCTGACCCTGCTCATCGGCTTTCCACGAATCTGTACATTATCGGAGGAAGGAAGAAAACAGCTTAGAGTAAAAATACAAAGGCATTTTTCGAGATTAAGATTAAAACCGGATGAAGTGGAATATGAAACGAGGTGGGATAAGTTTGTGTTATATTCAGTCATTTTCTGATTGGTTAGATACGGAAACAAAAAAGGCGATATCGTCAGCATACTTAAAATATCGTGCAGGGGGAGTAACAAGTAGTTCACTGATATAAGTCGAAAAAGATAGGGTGATAGGACAGCACCGAACTATTGAGTGATGCGGTTGACTGTCTTCTTCCGAATTTATTACACTGATGTTTCATTTCGTCCGTTCGCCGATCAATTGGCAATTTGATTGAAAACGTTTCATCACCAGCCGAATTGACATCATCAGTGCACCGGCTCAACGGCGAACCGAGCCGAACACAGTGAGAACAAGGGACAAAAATAGTCGTTGGAGAGGAACAGGGTTACAAGCAGAACACTACCAATTCACAAGCACTGATGACGATGTCACCTGGGCTGGTGATGATGTAACGTTTGCAAACAACTCGTTTGCCCAACTCGGCGAACAAGTGAAATGGAATTCAGTTCACCCAAACTACGAGAACCGATTTTCAATATACTGATAGCTTTGCGAAAAGTAATAAACAAGACATTTAACATGAGAGGTGGGACAGCCAAACGATAGGAGCTCGTTTCACAGAAGAGAACGGGGCACCGAATCAAAAGCGGAAGAATTATCAAGAAATGCACAGTACACATATTTGATTCTCTCGTTAAGGTTCTTACAGATGAAGTGAACAAGGGAAGCAACGACATCCAACGAACAGCGGTTATGTTCATAAGCAAAATGGTAAGACGAACTTCTGTTTAAGTTTTATCGTCTTTGTACATAAATTTTCATTTCTTTTTTATCCCATTGTAACAGTGAACGTGTTTTCTGACTGAAATGTAGGAACACTTGCTTTCAAAATCATTACGATACGATACAATATGATAGAATACGAAATGATGAATTGGATAATTGTCCAATAATTATTATACTCTCTTTCATCGTACTGCACTGTATGGTTGAAAGTGCAAAGGGATTAAACCCATATTGTTTTACTCTGCAAAGACCCCCACGTATGGGAATTACCATTTTGAAAGAAATTGGCCACATACAACAATATACTCACATTACTGGCCTCCGATGAATGACTACGTGCGACTTCCTGGGATCCTTCAACCACACTGGACAACTTCTGATCCGTTTCCACTGCCATGGGTTCACCAGGCTTTCTGGCATCTTCGCTCACACCAGCGGCCGCATGTTGTGAACCGTCATCTTGGCTGGATGTAGGATTTGCGTTATTCGAGTTGGATGCGGCGATTTGTTTGTTCTCTGGCTCGTTGTCTTCAACCTCCACCACCGAGGGTTTCTGTGCTGGTGTTTCCGGTGAGCCGGGGACCGATTGCGCAACATGCTTGTCCGCATGGTGCGTCTTGACTGTGGTCGCCGCGAACGCTTCCTGACGCATTGCTTCGAGTTTGAACCATTTGAGTAGACAACCAGCGAAACAGAAAACCTGTCAGAGAAGTACAAGGTCGAGCAAATATTAGGAAATATATGAAGATGTTCTACAACTTTTGTGCGCTTATTCAGGAACGAATCTTTAAAAGCGGCAGTATGAAAGACAATACTAATCCCGACTGATGGATCTGAATCTATTGGTTACTGATTCAATCGATACCGCAGTCAAAACGACCGCCATTCAACCGGTTTAATCGCTCTAAATTTTAGCTGGTCACTACTCGAACTGAGCAATCTATTCCTGTTTTGATTGATAACTCAGTCTTCCGTACATTTTTAATCTACGTTTAAATTAGGCGTTTTATTACAAGGATATTAACGTTTTCGCTTAATTTTCAGATTTCATGTCAGATTCAAATCGTGACAGTTGTCGTTGGATAGTCTGGTTCATATTGAAACTTTTCATTATGTCTTGGCCTTTTGCTTCATTCCTGCTTACTGCTCTATTTCCAGTTCCGGATGTCCATATGGGCTTTTCTATGGTGAACTTTTCTCAAAACGCGAACTGCCTCAATAATGGATTTCAAACCGTCCTCTAATCAGACAGTCCATCTACAGATGATAAAATAGAACACAGCTGAAAGTGTGTAGAAATTTATTCACTGAAGAGAAAGTACGTTTATCTAGAGGATTGTTGACGATGGTTTTGATTGGCTATCGATTTCGACTCACTATGTGTTTGAGTTATCTTCAATTTGATTGGTGTGCATTCGACCACTGTCTTCCGTGCTGTATCAAATGCTTCTGTTGACTCACACGAATGACGTTTCATTAAAGAAACTGCAGTACGTGTATCAAATAATATATATATTATTATATTTCACACACGTCTGATGCCAGACTGTGTATCAGTCGGATCGTGATACAATAAACTTTATAAAAAGAAAAACGCTCCACAACTTGCAAGTGGGCCGAATACTGCCAGGTTGCCCAGGCCAAGGCAGGTGAATTTTNGGGTTCACAACCGGAGCTTTTGGCTAACCAATACCTGACCAGCAAGGCAGCAGGGCGGTGAGCAAAAATCGCAATCCATGATTTGTTCTGATCCCCAATCTTCAAATTCGTCTGAACTGAGAGACGATCGACCGACCCGGAAATGGCCTTGCTCGAGGACACTAAAACCAAAAAGGTCATTCACGGGCCAGGTAAACTGTCCGAGATCATTTTTCCATCAAAACTCTGACTCCTTAAAATGGAAATGCCCCTTGTTGATTGTTCTCTGGTTATAATCTGTTCAGATGGTCACCATCTTCACCCTTTTCTTAAGTTGTCCTGTAGGCTAGCACCTGTGCCCCTCGGTTGCCTGTACAGTTGCGACTTTCTTCTTACTGAACTCCCTAACAACATCCGCCAATCTGAATATTACAGTCATGGTCTTTACGGCATTAAATATGCGTGCCATCTACGGCAGGTATTCCGACAGGCTCCATAGTGGAACGATCAAAGAGTAATTCCGAACGGGCAGCTTCTTCCAACGTCGAGAACGCTCAATCCAACGGGGAGTTCGGGGTCCAGACCAACTGCGAGTTGTGTCGTCTGGAAGCACCGCAACTCCTCCTGATGGCCGATCGGCATGTCAAAGCCCTAGATCAACGCTCACTCCGTCTCTTCTTGCCGCATCCAACACCGCCTGCGCACGGTCCTTGAGAAGCGTTCAGAGGGAAGTCAACTTAATCCGGTTCATTTGTATCCATCTCAGCTCCGCAAATTCCTCTAGCTCTTCCAAGAAGGTCCATACGTCTACATCCTCGAACAATGCAGTCCAAGGCCCCCCCCATCCTGGTCACGGCATTGAATGTTGTAATCCTTGAAGTTCAGTTCCTGGTCAAGAAGAGTTCTTCATCCAAGGACTAGCATAGGATTGGGATAAATAAGATCACCCAGAACGACGTACCTAATTTACATCGGATGATTGGTATTTTCTTGAACGTATCTTTGTCGATGATAGTCAGCTTGATTGTCTGTTTGTCTCTTTTGTAGTTACAATAGAGAAATACACATTGTAAATGTGACCGAAGCGTTCTGATCCCTGTATAGAGGTAAAACGGGACGGTCTAGACACGTGCGGTTTCGCATTCTAGCCACAGCGGAGGCAGTTTCTATTCATCTTCACAACCCCCCGCTGTGTGCTCAGAAACAATTTGTGCTAACACTCAGGCTCCCATGGCCGGATTGCCAACAAGTGACCTGTCATGAAACATCGGGGCAAATGATAACTGAGGATTAATTATGACACAAACTGGTGAATGCTTTAATTGCTTTCCCATTTTTCCCCTTGTAAATCCTTCTCTGTTACTGGTCATATTTATTGTGTTTTAACGGCATGATTAGGACCTATTGAAAATGAGCTTGTTTGCCAATTTGTGTTCTCATTATGAGCTCTGTGGGACTTTTTAAACAATACAAAATCTCTTAATCCATTCGTAGATATAGTGAGAATTCAATGGGTGCTTTTTTGCACACACCCTAAAAACACCACTCGCAATTGTGAGATATCACCTAACAACACTACTAAACGCAATCAATTATCTGATATATTTCACTCAATTCAGATTTAACTTTTAAAACTCCTTGAAGCGTGAAAAATAAAGTCGATTCAATTAGGCCAAATTTCTTCACTGTCAGTATCCCGCTTAAAAGTACTTCCGGTGTTCACCATCTACATTTTACCTTGTATTCACATGGTTCAAATTTTTTTTACAGTTCAGCTTGACTTCTAAATCTCCTCTTCCGTAGCGTCATATTGTTGAACCTGTGTCACGTACGTGACACTGCTCTGGGGGGCGAGGCGGAATATCATATTCATATTACGGGGCCCGAATTCTTGTACATTTTGGGCACGTTTGAATTATGGTCAGTCACCTATCCATCCCTAAAGTTCATCCTCAAATCACATTCCCATCACTGTGCGATAAACGCCTTGTCCACAATCCCGGTTACTATCACAATTCTTGCTCTACTGGACGTGCAAATTCGGTCCCTTGTCCAATTTCAATTGTTCTTCATGAAACCTAGTCACTAGCATTAGATCAGGTGACTGCAAATCTGTCAAACGGTGGGGTTTCAAATGTTCTTCCTTTTCCAAAAAAATACAGAATCCACGAAATTGTAGAAAGTTTCTCTCAAGGAGAAGCCTACTAAGCTTTTCCTGCGATTTTTCGCGGTATGAATTTGAAATGGATTGAGATCATCCGCCACCGTGGGAAAGTGTCAGTGTTTTCTCGCGAGTAGATGAGATGCGTGGTCGTCAGTAGAGCGGATGAAAAATGACAACCTGGATTGTGCATCGATCACTGACTCGGTGAACTTGTAACCCCGATTTTGGATGAACTAATCGCGTGTGATCAAACCCACAAATACTGCACGTTTATCCTTTTCACTATCCACATTTTTGGCCGACACTGTACCAACAGAGGTTTGCATTGCTTATAACTGTCTTTTAACCGACAGCGCTGGGATACGCATCGTGGGACTAGGTTGGGTGAGAACCTAGGTGAGAACTAACAGATTCCTTATTTTATTTTTACTACAATTCTACACTTTAATTATATTCTGGCACAGAATGAGCTGACTGTTTTTTAATGGTCGTTCCGTTGCCAGCAGTGTACAACAGTTTAATTCTTTAATGCAATTAAGAACGAGATTCCCCTCTCCGGTCGGTCGATCCATTTCCTGATTCCACTACATCGCTTGACCTCAAAACTGAAAAAATTGAGCAATCCGACACCATCGATCATCAGTGATTTCTTCTGTTTTTTTGTTCACTATTATTTTACCGAAGCGCTTGAACAGAAATTCAAAACAGTGTGTCATGTTTGGGAAACGATTAGTCTTGCAAACGTCAAAGTATGAAGTTATTCTTGAAGTTGTTCAACTTCCATTGTTGTTATTATTCTTTTGGCTCGCTTTAGGTCTCGTCGGTAACCTTTTTTTCTGTCACTATTGGTGGTGTGTTAGCAACATGTCAATTCGCAAGTGATGAAAATTCCTCTGGAAGAACCCGAGTCATTCACATATTACTCTACTTGTAAAGACGCTTAAGTGACGTTTTTCGCGGTTAGTAACATTTAGCCCAACTACAAAACATCGAATCGTACAGTAATGATTCTTCAATGGACTGGTTCTGAAAGAGCCGTCCAATCAAATTTATTCCGTGTCGCAAGTGAGGTTGTTGTGACGAGTATAGTCCTTCTGTGTACAGTTGTATAAATGAAGTGACCCGATGCGCATGCCTGATGAGCGGTAGGAACCGCGAAACCGGTCGTGTGCCTCCAAGGGGGATTTGTCGAGTCATTCACATACTCCTTATTGTAAAATATACATACATACATATAAAAGCGTACGACTTCTCTATAGTTATTGATTTCACCCAAAAAGACAAGTTAAATCCGCACTCTTGATGTATTTGATGAAAACATAATAATACGTCATTTTGTTGACTTGATTTGACTCCCTTCCTCCTATCGACCATTTGATTGGTCGGTTCGCACCTTTTGGGAATTTCTTAAACCAATATTTATTTATTCAACAGAAAAAAGAAGTAAGTAAATGTAAATCAGAAACCATCCAGGGTTGACTTTGAGCTAGCACAAAGTTGTACCGTTTAACTTGACGAGTTTTCTAGGATTTTCGTCCGATCGTAACGTAGTATCTCTCTCTCATGAGTAAAACAGCAAATTTCACTTAGTGTGTTCAACGGGTTGTCTGGAGAATGCCATACCACAATACTACAGAGATGCATTTAAACGCAAATCAGACCGGCTAAATGCGCGTACGGGTACACAGCCCGATTCAATACCATTTAAAAAGTAAGATAACGGATGAAGTGCAATAAATTAACCGCGTTCTCAACACTATTTAAACGAATACTGTAATGGTACACAGAAAACAAAGAGGCGATTCAAACCGACTTGATAAATTGCGAAATTAAATGCCACCTACTGAATTTCTGTGAGTAGTGAAATAGGGAACATAAGTGTAAAACCGCTGAACGCTTAACCATCGGAATCACAACCCACATGTGACAGTAATTCCGTAACTAGATCAGTTTTGGTCTATCAGTTGAAGTGATGTAGCAGTTCTGAAGTTTTCAGATTGAGTGAATGAACGATTCTTCAGAACCACAAATGGAAGACAGTGCAACACAGGTCCGTTTATTGCACAATTGCTGTTCCCTTCGCGGTTCTGAAGAATCGTTCATTGATTCAATCTGAAAACTTCAGAACCGCTACACCACCTCAAGAATCATGATGAGGGACTGCTTGAAAGGAGATTACACAGAAGAGAAATTTGGACCGGAAAGTACACTAACGATCACAGTTTCGTGCCACTTATACAAAAGAGAAACCTTATTCAGTACTTTGTCTCGCGTTCACGAAAGGTATGCTCCAAACCCACGTTTGCAGATGAAATCGATCAGATTAAAAACATTCTAAGGGGAATCGGATACCATGGAAGGTTTGTCGAGAGAAAACCAGAAGAAAAACTGAAACCAGAGCCCGTTCATGAAGCTCGGAAGAAGAAGCTGTCTATTAAACCGCCATTCAAAGGAGACGACCTGTCTGAACTGATCAGGAGATGTTTGGCGCGTACTGAGAGAGGAACCTTCAATACAGCCAGGTTGCCATGTGCATTTAAAGGCTCACCAATGATAATAACGCTCAATAAAGACAGTTTACCTAGGCTAGCCTCATCTGTGGTTATATGTTCTCCAGCTGCGTTTGTAACGCAACCTACGTTGGTCGAACGGTAAAGCAACTGTTTCAGCGGATTGAAGAGCACTGTTCACGCTGGCCTCAACACTGTGGAAAAGGTGTCACACGAAGCGCTATTCTCGCTTGCTTAGAGGAGATTCGGGTCAAAAAATAAAGCCTGAATCAGCCTTTAAAGTTATCTATCGAGTACCACCAGGTCGCTGTGTCACCACACTCTAGCCACTGCGGAAGCGTTCACATTCGTATGTTCACACCCCCATCCATGTGCACAACAGCGACTAACCCATGCCATCCAACTGCCGTGGCCGACGATCTAACGCACGGATGACGCATCACAACCTGATTGCATTTTTGTGGTGATTCAGAGGCGTGAAACACGTCGCACCACTTACCTTCTCCTCCTCCCCCATTTTCCCTTTAGACCAATCACCATGACTTTCAAATGACTGCATGTCCATCCTGTTCAAAATATCATTTCTTTAGTTGATCTGTGCAGTCTAGAGGATGAATCAATCAATCAATCGATTTTCGCCTCTGAACGTGTGTTATGAGAGTCTATTGTCTACCTAAATTTCAGACTGCTTACCGAAGGATTTGTCGTCTGATTGGTTCACTCTCCCGTTACTTCTGACAACGAACTTGACAACCGTACAAACACCATTTGTATCATAATTTACCGGAGAAGTTGCCGTCGACGGCGGCGGCTCATCGACATGGATGCTATTCGACTGATGCGAGCGGATCGATTTCGTGGATAGCCTTGCACTGCTCTGCTGAATGTGTCTACCCGTCCCTTGTAGTGATTACAAACTGCTCACTCTGAGCCCAATCTGTTGCGGGTTTTCGTGACTTTTACCCTCATTCTCTCCCGATCCTCTTTTAATTCTTTCAACCACAAATGATCATAGTTTATCTACAAAACTGACGAGATTATGAGACACTAGTTGAATTCGACACATCTATGTACTCGTGAAACTGGTTGGATGAAAAAATAGTATTCAAACAGTTCAAAGTTATTAGCATTCAAACGTTTTTCCGGTTAACTAGCAAAAAAACTGAATCTATTATTCTGTGGGTTTGTTATTTGACTACTTGTGTGAAATTTTAAATCAATTTCCAGTATTACTAGCAGAAAATCACAATCCGGCATATTCGGTAGGACTTGGACTAACTTGTTCTGTGTACTGGCACGGAATGATGCGAAAATATTGGGCCAATTTGTACGCCCGGGCCATCGAACCGGCCAATGAGCGCCGCTGACCGAGCATGTTAAGTGTGAGTGATGCTCGACGCACAGCCATGGATTGACGTGGCATATTAGACGCTGCATGATGACCTCCAATTGATGCTGGCACCTCTTCAACCATGCTTGCTTCCGGAATGGGTTGGGGTAGTAGGAACCAGATTTTGGAGGAAGATAACTATTATGTAATGACTGAGTGAATGAAGTTCATCTACAAAACAAAATCAGCGCATAACGAAATTGATTGAAAAATTTCTGCTCCTCTGCCGTTCAGTTTGTACAGTATTGATTTCACGATAACCGGATAATTGATAACATTCTTATGGGCAATACTTTTATCAAATGAATAATGATATTGGACCCGATTAGCACAAGACGATTTTTTTATCACACGGACAGCTGTGGTCTAGGAAAAAAATTCAAAATGACAGTTTTGAACGCAAAAGCTGTTACTTCAACTTGAATTCACTTCCACACTGATAACTAATCAGATAACACGACAGTTGAGTTCAGGAGACTCGCAGTTAAGTGACATGCATGTGCTCTTCTGATGACTGAAATATTTCACATTTCACTCACAGTTACTTGTGAGTAGTGGTGTGGGATAATTGATTTTTACTGATTTGAGCTGACCATCCTTCGGACTTCAACTTCACGCACAATCCTCAGTTCGTCGATTCAACCATACACTCGGAAGCACTAGAATTGAGTTTCACTCTTATTGAAGCTTATCAGTAGTACATATCCACCGTCCCGTCCAGAATTTGAACTCCGGACCCATCGCATGGATGGCGTGTGCGTTACCACCTCATACCATAGGGCTGAACCAAATTGACAATTCATGTTTGTTATGGTATCGTCTTCAGTGATAGTCAATCAGTTAATTTGGCCCGACAGCAACGCAGGGATACACAGATGACGATTTGTTAACCAATCGAAAGCAATCGAAAGCCTCACATCAAGTGAGGACTTCCAATCAGGCACGGGCTGATTAGCCAACGAACCTACAAGGCTGGATTTATATATCCTTTTCTGAATAATGGCTATCATCTGGCGTACATTCAATGGTACGGTTTTCCGATCAATCTCAGAAAAATCTTGAGCTGAGCAGACCAATCTGACTATAGAGACCAATTTTTTAAAGGACATGAAGATCAAACGGAATATGTACGTAAATAGCATCAGTTAACCAAAGCCGTGGAAATAACACAAAACCCCAGACTAATTTATTCCAAGTATTACAAATTTATAGACCAGGATGAAGTCAAAAGAGATCTTACTGAGGATATTTCTCTTATGCGATACTAAAATATCAAAATTTCTCGAAACGTACCAGGAACATTAGAACCGAATAAGGCGAGAAACTGAGAAACACACACAGTAAACCGCCCACTTTTGGAATCCATGGCGAAGTGGTCCTGAGAAAAGAGTGCTCAACCAAGAAAGTCAATCGACTACAATCCAAGAACTAAGCCGAATGGTTGCATATGCTAGTGTTATACTTTGAGAAGACCAGCGATCGTCGCGAACAGCAAAGGTATGGATAAATTAGCGTACACACAACAAAATGTCACATATACATACATATATATATATATACATACATTTAACACCAATTTATACAGATACTGCACCAAAATAACCATGGGTGAACGCAAAAATATAGGTAAAAAGGCGGGAAAAAATAAAACGGTCAATTTCGGGGAGTAACATTTCGCCTCATTTGGAATATGGCACCAAATTCCCGCAAGCATCCACACTAATGAACGGACCGGTCCGTAGTTATCATTTTCCAACATAACTCGCTCTAGGAGGTATTGTTCATTTTTGACCGTTGTGAGAAACCATCAATCATAGTCTTTTGCGTAATCCAAACACTACTCACAAATGCGAGTAGGACCGCTGCTTGATTCAATAAAGCCTACTTCAGGGAAATCTGAGTATTGTGTAAAAAGATACTCTATCAACCTAACCACGCTATCCGGGAATGACCATCTCAGGGAACTGGCGCTTCAGCTGTTTAGGCTACCTTGCTCATATTCATGTTCCTTCTTCCGAATATATACTTTCTGAAACTGTCCTTGATCTCGAATTTGTGCCCCAACCATCGATTATTTCAACTTGCTGGTTAATCAGGCATTGGAAGAGCATGGTAATTACCACTATTATTTGTCATCCCAAACAGTGTAGAGTTGGAGACAGAACGTTATATTTCCGGATATCCTCTATCAGTAACAATTAATTCTATCATTTTTACGGGACATGAGCAAGTTTACCCGGGTGACATTTCGTCGGACTGTTTCAACAGTCACCCTAGAAAATGGTTGGAATGGCACTGCTTCTTCAAAAGTGCTGAACTAACATCATGTCATACATCCCTTGGTATGAATTTGTCATAATATCATAGGTGAGACAAAGCAAACAGGTCAGAGTCTATGGATGCATGTCGTCTTCCGTCTGGGGATGAATTCCCACGCAATACTAAAAGATTATCTTTTATAATTTCAGTGACGCAGGTCACGATAGTCAATTGGGTATGCTATTAGGATGAAGCTCACAGAACCCATCAGGCCACGCATCGAGCCGCATCACACTACAAACACGCTCGAGACGTCCAAGTCGACTCGATTCTGGATTGGATGACTAGGACGAACCAAACAGCTATCGTCTGATTGACCAATCAGTGCCATGGACGCGACCTGATCGGTGCGTCACCAGGTCGTTCACGTACGCTCAATTTAAGCACTCAATTGCGTATCGTATCATGATCACGATATACACTGACTGTTGTTCTCTCGTGGTTCTTTGTCCGCCGTATTATTGCTGAGGACTGAGGAAGGGGCGCTCATGCGTCTAGGCAGAAAACAACAAATATGAAACACATCGCAATCCCGTTTTGACAAATTCTGTCATAAGCCTCTCGAGTCATCATCAACATCATCATCAGATACAGTGAAGCGAGCTTCGCTGATCGCTGCCAAGCTCACAATATACACAAATCAAGTGATACAGCACAAAATGGAGAGCGATTGGGCCTACTTGGAGGGGGGCAAAGAAAAATAACCTCTATGTTCAACACATAGAGCATACAATCTAAGTGCTCATGCATATTTTTTCAAGCATTCTGCCTTGTTAAGAAATGACAACAAGAACGCCACTGCTGTCGGTTAGTCGCTATATCCTTTAATGTCTCCAGCCAACCAGCCGCAAAGTATTTCGGACCCCAACCTATAAGACGGGAGGCACCAATTCTACCTAATCGCTCCGTGCATTTGTGGTGATCCAGGTCTACGCGATGGCGCCTACCCTGGACCGGCGCTAAACACAGTCCGTCCATACTTGGCTTAACCGCCATTCGTGAATTGAACCATTGTGTGTCGCTCAATACAAACTATATGTCCAAGATGCACACCCATCTACAGCACTTGGTCGTGAAATGTTCCAATAATACGGGAGGTATGAACGTACAGCCGGCCAAACTGGAAGTTGACGGTGAACCTATTTCCCTGAAACGACGTGTAATTCCCTACAGCCAAAGTGATGGTGTACTACAGACCCTTGAGAAAATGGAGCGCGATGGTATAATCACACGAGTCACATCCAGTACATGGGCAACGCCAATCGTGATCACAATCAAGAGTGACGGCAAAACATCGCGAATTTGTGGCGACTACCGCTTAACACACCCCGCGGTTGCGAAAGTGTGCGGCTAACACCATGGAACCGGAGGATTTCATGAAAGCATTGCACGGTAGTATATGCTTCTCGAAAATTGACTTGGCCGATGCATACCTCCACATTCCACTCGCACCAACCTGCCGGCATTTCACTACTATCAACACACCATGGGGATTGTATCAATACAACTTCCTACCGTTTGGTCTCCACACATACTCCGGCATATTCCAGGCTGCAATTGACGAAGTGGACTCGATGGCGTGTTAGCGCACCAGGACGATGTCACTGTATTTGGCACAACGAAGGCCGAGCATGACGATAGACTTCTCAAACTACTGGAACGGTTCGCCCAAAAGAACGTGTCAACTCGCACCTCCAAATGCACGTTCAGCTCACCAGAATTGGAATTCTTGGGTTTCACAGTAGATGCTAAAGGCTATCGTCCTGATCCAAGTCGCTTCCGCCCATTGACTGAA